GGACTAGACTTTTATTTTTTTAATTCGACTAGGACTAGTAACTCTAACGATTATGCCGCGATAAAAGCAAACATATTATGGCCAAGCGCTACGTGAGTAATCGAGTGAGGAACCTTTTCAATTGCTTGACAACGACAGAACTGACTGATGCCCAGCTATGAAGCCCCCGATTCGCAAATGATTTTGATGTGCACGGCAATGGCTTGCAGTATGTTCGACGATTATTTGGTTTTATCTAATTTTTCTATTTGAATCTTCAGTTTTTGGCGACGCCGTTAAGCTTCTAGTGATATCAACTGTGATGAAACGTTTGAGCGAATATATTATATAGAGCGATATAGTAATACTATATATGCCACGATGCGGCTCGCGTGTCGGTTACTCTTGTTACTTAGCTTACCGGGTTCAGCGACAGATAATTAGAACATTGGCGTTTCTATTGGGAAACAATATGAGCGCTGTATTTGTTATTGACGGTTGTTTCGAGAAGGAGAAACGCCATATCCGAAAAATATACCGAGAGCGTGATGGAGCAAATAGTTTCTGTTACGTTACGTCACGTTACATTTCTAGAGACCAGCCAAAGCTGGCGTTCATTACCGCACCGATATCGGCCGTGGTGAATCAACGCACCAGGATTGAATGCAGGTCAGGTTGTCTTCTTGCACAAATCTTCTCGAAGTCGTGTGCCGATATATTTGCGTGATATATTATTTGTGACATGTGGTCTGCGCATAAAAAAATACTGACAAACTTCCAAGTTGTTGTTATGTTAGGTAAGTTATAGCTTTGCAATAGAATACATAGATTTATTTTGAGCTATTGTTACCGACAAAATACGAGGCCTATATCTCAGAATTTTCTCATACAGTGATTCCATGAAATGTGCCCCAAACGAACCAGTCATAGGGATTGACTATAACGATGAGAGAAGGATTAAATCTGATCCGTAATGACAAGATTGTGTTAGGTTTGCGAATCGACTACAGGGATTTTTTGGTGGACGACATAGTGCATTTTTTTGGCTTGGATGCGCCTGAATTTGCTTAAAATATTTCGTCTTTTCGGTTAATATACAATTGTTTTTAGTGGATCAAGCTACACTGGCAAAATGTTAGCAAAAGCATCCCCTAATTCTGGTCATGATAAAAGTTACTGTCGTTTACGAACTACCTTTGTCATGATAGTACAGTCACCAATTCAATGGCGACTTCAGACTTATTAGGGTAATTACCTGTTATACTTCGTTACTGAGAACCGAGGAAATTTTATGGGGCAGTGTTTTCGGCGTATCAACGTTTAGCTTCGGTTGAGGCCAGATGTGAGTGGACCAAATATTCGATCTTCCCATCATAGCGGAGTTCGAACCTGGATTGTCTATTTCAAGCAGTCTAGAGAATCCCGCCTCTTCATCAGCCGCTCTTTTCAGCCTCATCTTCCGTTTTCACGCTTCATCATTTTGTGCACTTATTTAGCTGACCGTCAGATTATCCGTCCGTTTGCTTTCACCGCAGGTTTCACAGCTTCGTTACGCCTGTCAGCACCTAACCCACCCCTAAGCCCAACTTTAGTCCAGTTTTAGCTGATACACTCAATAGGTCAATCGCCCACGTTGACAACAGGCAGGGTGCCACCGTCAAACTTAACACGCATAACAATAGCGGGCTATCGGAACAGAATAGGAAGCGTTTGATAATTCAAAAGGGCCCCATATCTTCAACTCAATTGAAGGTTGGACTTTAAAAAGAAAAATATCTTTGGTTCCCTCTGAGTGCACAAATCGCTTTCAGGCGATACGGTATGATCTAGTGTGCCGTTTTAACTCAGCATAACGAAGAGACTCATAGGCGATTGTTTGTGTTGAAATAAGGAGTTCCGAGATCTTTTCAAGCGAGTATCGTTGTCTGCGATTTCCAGACAGAGGCAGCCTTTGCGATGTTGACAAGCCCGTCTTTTCTGCATGGTTTTTATCTATTGATGTCGGTAGGATGAGGCTGGTACTTACTAGGCGGCTAATGGACGTCTAGGCGATAATAGCCTAAAAAAAGTGTTGGCAGTCTTTAAACTACCGCGAAAATGGCGTCAGTGATCTAAAAATTTTCAAAGTTACTATGTTACGTGCATCTTATATAATAGGGTTGTTAATTGAACTTTTTTTAATTAACTTTATTGACAGATCTGCAAGTACAACAGCGTTTGTATACACGTTGCCCCGTGAGATTAGAATCTTGAACCTAAAGGTCCCGTGTCTTTAAAGTTGCCCCGACGCCGTCTTAACGAACGAAGTGATTGATATTATTTGTGTTGTCCGTATATGATACGGCTTTGCTTTTTGCTACAGTCCAGTTTAACTTGCTGAACCTGCACATTTAGGGCGCGTTTTCGAGACACAAATACCTTATATAAGGCCAACCTATATATAATTTCCTTCGTATAGATAATACGCAGATATATTTATGGTATCTGCGTTGTAGAAAATAGCCTTGAAGCAAAGCTCATGTTGGATGAACTCATTATCCACTTTGGCGAACGGGTGGCCGACGCTAGGGGACAGATTCGACCGTTGGTCACAGGACCTAGGATAGAATTGTGGATAATGAGAGGCTCTGATTTCAACCGATTTGAAGCGATTTTTGAAGGTAAATGTCATCATACGTATCTCTCTTGTTTAGAGCCAGTCTCGGTATTGCAGTGAAAGGCTCTGATGGTAATGCTGTGAAGGAACATTAGACCATTAGAGCTCTCAACAGATAGAAAGAGCCGATTGGAATATAATCTTTGATGTGAAAAGTAGATATGACTTCCGGAGATGATCGCTCATCATATCTAAGTACTACTTTCATAAGAAACAGGCGCGTACACACTTCTAATCGATTATCTTAGACTTGCTTGATCATTATTACAAATTACAAAATATATATATATACCTTAGTATGATTATACTAGCGGTTTTTTCAAAAATTTCTTATGTCGCTTGGGTGTAGTAGGTTTAGTTCAACCTATCGACACAACACAGCGACGGAGATTATTAAGATAAAAAGAAGCAATGCTGATATATGCGACACAAGAGGTTGGAAAATGTTCCTCCGAAAAACTATCGACACAAAAACTACGCTTATACGAGCATCATTAAGTGATGTAATATAATGAGCATGATAATTAAGAAAATGAAAATTCTCCTTATTGGCGACTAGCAACCAGGGACAACAAGAGCTTAATCATTGCTTCACTTGCCCGTCTTCCTTTAGTTGTACGGATGGCGAACGAATATCGCTGGCCAGTTCTAACATCATCCATGGCTGCCTTTGCCAAGAGGATGTCAATTTGCTCGCTGCCGCTTGCGTTTTCGCGCATGCTTTCATTACCTCAAGTTGAAGTCGAGCAGAGACTTCGGTGGCCGTGACGGTGGTTACGGGGGCTAATTGAAAATAAGCCAATGTCAACGGACAGAAGTAGCAGCGGTGTAAACCGCTTGTCCTTTTTGTTGTTGTTTCTGACCATTGTTGTCGTTGCTGTTCTGTCTGTTTACATAATGTGTCCTTTACCCGCTTGCTCGTTTGGTCTCGCTATTGCGCTCCTGTTTCTCTAATCAGTAACGCTGTTTGGACGCCGCCCGCTTCTTCATCGGCCTTCTTTATGATAGACGACAATCCCCAAGGGGAATGCAATTCTGACGCAATAATGAACGACCTGAATGTTAGACAAAAACAGTAACAATACCATTATTCATTGTCGGCCGCGCTTTGGGTGGGGTCCTGTTTTGGTCGGTTCACGGTAGTGCTGCTTCTCATCTGTTGATCGCAGTAAGGTTATCGTCGCCCCTGTCGTTGTTTTCGAATAATCATTTATTATTTAGCAACGTAGGGGTTGAAGTCGTAGGTATGCGGCTGCTGAGGAGCGAACAGGAGCAGCAACAGTCGGAGCTCAAAAAAGAGCTCTCCACTCGGCGGAAGTGGATCAGTTTTACTTCGTATTTGTCTGTCAGCAACGAGAGAATTTACGTCGACTTTTTTGACTTCTTCTTGCTATCTTTTCTTCCATTTTGTTGTTATCATTGTCCTGCTTCCGCAATTGCCTGCGCCGCTGTTGTATGGGACATTTGTTGTTGATTAATACTTTTCATAGAACGGGACGACGCTACAACCATCCATCATATTTTCGCGTGTGTTTGTATGCACATCGCATACATTTTATGTGTATTGTCTGATTATATCGGTATGTGACTTGGTACGTGTTGCTTGTTCTTAGTATGATGCCTTTTGGCGGATTCTGCCACCAACACCGCCTTATTCCAGCCCCGTGTCGATTTCTTCCGTTCAGAAAGCTGTCAGAGATCTTCTACTGATGGATGTGTTTAAGTACAATAGCTATATACGTACGTAAAGAGCTGTACGGAATAGGCGGGTTGGGTGAGCAAAAGTGCGACGCGAAAAGGTTCTGCTGTGTCCTAAAGAGGCTCAACATTGTTTTAGCTTTATGTAGGACTACTCTGTTGTAACCTTTGCTGGGTTGTGACGAGGCAATGAATAATAAATGATCAAACGTAAATGCAGTGCAGTTCTTCACCATTCAACATAATTCTGTGTAGTGAATAAGACTTTCATTTGCTACCGTTCGAGCAGAACATTGACATATTTGCGGCTTACATGTGTGACGCATGATATTGCTGTATCAGATGGCCAAGACTGTTAAACAGGCAAAAGGTAATTGAATGACAGACTGATTGCGAGAGGAGGCCATGCATAGGCTCACGTTACAGGACAATTGTAGGCAAAATTGCGTTGCTAGGTTGCATGCATAATTCAGTTTTGATGCATCACGTGCTAACAGCAAAAAGACCAACAGGCGTTGGCTTAAGGCTTTCCAGTAAATCGATTTTTCATATTGTCATCCTACGTACCATGCTCATGTTCATAGCTAGACACTAGATAAATAGTCTAAGCTTGAAATGTACAATACATTAATGAAGCAAGGTGACTATACCATTATGCAACTTGTAGGTGTTATGGCATCTAGACATTTTCCGAAGAAGCTTCCGGGATCTAGTAGGCCATGTGTGTATGGGTGAGTCTTGCATCTTCTGCGCCCTGAAGGAGCTTTTCGCACAGTTCCAATACAGCCAGGAGTCAGCGTTGCCTCCGGACGCGTTACGGAAAGCACTAGCCGAAACGTTTTTCGATCAACGTCGGTTTCAACTGGGATTTATGGACGATGCTGCTGAATGCTTCGTGAGTAGCCTAAATTATATGATGAATGCCAATAATATATCTCTGTAGTTGTTTGTCTATATCCTGTACGCATTAAATAACGTTTATCGTATTACCCAATAAACAAAGTTGTCACTGTTCGAAACGGAGAAGTGAGCCACTTTAGAATTTGCTGCTCTTCAATAACTCGATAGGAATTTGTTCCTGAACATAGCCTGATGCCTTCAGGCATACGCGTGTCCGAAATTGTATTGTGAACTACCTGAAGTTAATAAGCGTGTCAGAAAAATCTAACATCTGTTTGTATTTTCAGGAAAACATGCTTCTCCGAATTCACTACCACCTAGCAAGTCACGATTTGGAAGAAATGTGCTCGGTGGCACACTGTATTCCACATCAGAAATTTGCCATGACTTTAGTCGAACAAACCATTTGTCATATGTGCGGTGCTACGTCAGAGCCTCTGCCATTTACTCAAATGGTTCATTACGTATCGGCATCAGCTCTATGCACTCAGGCAGGAAAGGAAAAACCCGTCTCTTTCGGGGAGCTGTTGTACAAGGCTGGAGGCATGGGTGACATACGCGACTGTCCGGTACGTGTTCAAAACATCTGGTCACTTCAACTGTGCTCATTGTTATACCTTTATTATGCCACAGTCATATGTATATTATGCCTCTCATTTTCTGCCATCATTACACTAAAGCATACGTATACATATTTGCACTTTTTGCCAAATTTTCAGAGCTCCTGTGGAGCTAAAATCCAGATTTGTCGTACGCTAATGAACAAGCCAGACATCGTTTCGTTAGGCCTCGTATGGGACTCAGAGCGGCCAACGGTGGACCATATTGTCAATGTCCTCGATACAATCGGCACGTCTTTACGGATGCACGAGATGTTCCACACCGTTGTTGATCAGATATGGGCTCGCGCGACGACTCATAACCTCGTCGGAATCGTTACTTATTATGGCAAGCATTACTCGACCTTCTTTTTCCATACGAAACTTCGTGTGTGGATCTACTTCGATGACGCAACCGTTCGAGAGGTGAGCACTCCTTCATATGCCAATATTCCATAGAATTGTTTACTGTTTAGTGCTGTACACTCGCTTGAAATGTAAGTCTTGACTTTTATTCACTATTTTTCAGATCGGTCCACAATGGCAACAAGTTGTCGAAAAATGCCGAAAAGGACACTTTCAGCCTTTACTTTTGCTATATGCCAATCCCAATGGCACACCAGTGCAAACAGCTAGCGCACCGAAGGCTGTTCTCCTTTGTTCCAACGTCGGACTCAAGAATCCATCGGAGTTGAACAAATTCATATTAGCCAACAGCGAAGTACCTTCAGATATGTCACATTACGCCAATGCGCAACAATGGATTCAAAATAATTGGCATAAAACAGGCGAGGTGCCGCCAAATGTCACAATGAAAGATTTCCGTCCCAGAACATTTTCCGATAGCAGCGTAGTTGAAGCCGGCCTTAAACCGAGCCAAGGTAAGGCGTACGATGACGAGTTCCTCAACGACGAGTACATCAATCGACAGATTGTCGAGAGTGTCCTTTCGAAACAGCGGATGCACCAGCGTCATCAAAGACTGGCCATTGTAAACGCCGCCCACAATCCACAACAGCTGCAGCAAGGCGGAGTACGGACCAGCTCGAGTTCTCTTGAGTCCTTCGAAAACTCTCTTAGAGAGAAGATGCTTGAACAGCTCCAAGAGGGCCGGCGGCGTGACAGCGGCAACTGGTCCGGTGAGCGAAATTCAAGTTCTAGTTCGAGCTCGACGTCACTCGACAATCCGTATGCTCTACCAAACATCAAACGTTTCCAAAAGCCTCTGGTACCATGTCCACCAGAGTACGCCAATAGTATGGCGGCAGCACTTGATAAAGGCTATGATTCGTACTCGATTAGTAGCACCGACTCGTACTCCGGGCCACCTGGTTCGCCCCACAAGCCACTGGGCGGCATCCAAGAGGAATGTTTGGTTCATGTTGATGTTGCTAAAATGACACATGTATCAAAGGCCGTTATTCAACGAGCTCTGCAGGACCCATTTATTGAAGAAGTTCTCGCCCAGCGTGGTCCTATGGAGTATGAAAGGCTGTGGGCTCAAAGCGATTGGCTTATTAGGCGATCTTACGAGAAGGAGCAAACGGGCGACTTAGAGGTGGCAGCGTTTTTAAGCGATTGCGCCGCCGCTAAAGCTCGTGTGTCAATGGAAGCGCCATACAGCAATGGTCAGACGCTGATCGCAGCTAAGATGAAGCATTCGTCGTGTGTAATGAGATCGAACATGATCTATAAACGAGTGAAGGAGATTGAGATGGAGAACAAGAAGCGTCATCGAGAGCTGGAGACTATTCACAGTCGGCAAGGCTCACGCGATAGTCGCCGCAGCGGCAATCACAGTCGGCAAAATAGCCGAGAACTACTCCCACCTCCGCCCGATTCCATGTTGTCGGACCCAATGGAGTCCTCGGTGGCCGTCTATGCGACCTTGCCGAAAAAATCGGCCCGCAAGAAACTGCTCCAGGACGAAGTGGGCAGTTCGGCTGATGTCGCTCCTCGGGTTCCACCAAAGAATTTCAGTGTTAAAGAGTTCCTTGAAGCGGAAGGCGAACAGGAACGGAAGACAATGTCGCTCATGAGAAGTAACAGTAATCCGACTGGGTCAATAAAAAGTGGTGACGAGGCTGGGGAAGCAGTCTCTGCAAAGGATTCGAAGAAGGTTCACAAAATTAAACGAAAATTAATGGGAGGCTTTTTGCGACGGAAAAATCGTTCATTGCCTGATCTCCGCGACGCAGAAGACTCAGGAGCCGTGTCCGCACCCGAGGATTGTGGGTCCTCCAAAACTGAAAAGGCGAAAGCCGCTCAGATCTCGCCGCTTCGAGGCTTCCATCAGACAAATAGAACGAACCGGCCTCAGCTTGTCAAAGTTACGTGCCCCACTGTCGCGCTTGCCGAGGTTACTGGTAAAACTGCGCCCCTTCCAGAGTTGCCCAAACCGGAGTCTAGAAGTGAGGTTGACCTTTATGAGGATCCGGAATATGCAACACCGACAATTTCTAACGAGAAGCCAATCCGAGTCGAGGATGAGCGTTCGGAGGAGATACGGGAGACATTCCTTGGAGAACTTCAGAGGAAAAGAGCACAACTGCACGAAAAACGCCTCCAAGCAGCGAACAAAGCGAAGAATGACACAAAGGTAAGCAAGCGATTTTATTTTCCATACTCATGACGGTAAACATGCTTGAAGACTGCAACTATGCTGCGCTCTAAGCTGTGCAGTGTCTCATTTTATTTTATTTATTATCTTACTATAAAGAAGTGTTTGTGCTCATTGCAGACCTCATCGCACGCTTTGGCGCAGACACCAATACAAACACCCATCCCTCCTCAAACGAAAGAACCGTTAGATAATAACAACAACATGAAGTCGGTTAAGAATCTAGCCACAAAGTTCGAGAAGATCCTTCGAATGCCAGCCCCCAAAAGCTCATGTGATGAAGTAGATGGAAAAGCAACTGAAGAACCTCGAATTCCTCCGATCGGACAGCCTGTACCCGTAGCCATACCCCCCCCGCCTCTGCCGGCTCAACCTCCATTCACACGTTCGAGTTCTATTCGATCGACCTCCTCAACCGGCAGCACGGGATCGGATGGTATGCGTAGACCTCCACGTCCCCCGGACTATGAAACAGCTTTGCAGCGCCGAGAGCTAATGAAGAAGCAGCGCGCATCCATTTCATCAAGTATTGATGAAGAACTCTCAAACCTTCCGCCTCCACCGAACGAAATTCTCGCCACACCTCCCCTGGTTCGCGCACAACTAGCTTCAAGTTCTAGCATATCGTCGACTTCATCAATAAAAGAAACTGAAAAGGTCGTTTCCAAGTCGTTGATACCGCCCCCGCATCCGGCACAGGCTATTATCGCTACACACGCTGTGGAACCGGTAGAAGAACCTGACCACACGATAAAACATGAGGTGTTGCCAAAGTCACGTACCCTATCCAGCAGTAGTACAAGCAGCATGAAGAAAAAGAGTGTCACCTTCAGCGATCAGGTGGAGTTGGTGTCGTGCGCCGAGGAGATTGTCGAAGACTTTGTTCCCAATCCCCTACTTGAACGGGTCCTCAAGCAGCATCAAGAGAAGGTTCAGGAACAGCTTAACTCATCAATGGAAAGCATCGGCAGTAGTTCGGATAGCGCGGCGTTGGTTGCTGCAACCGCCGTTAACAGTTCCTCGACAGAATTTACGTGCAATCTTTGCCATGCCAAATCAGTACCAGCCAATATCACCTACTGCCCGGACTGCGCGTTTTACATGTCTCGCTTCCAAAAAGCTGACTAACTGAATCTATTATCATTAACGCACAATACGGATTGGTCAGTTCAATTGCCCAATCCAATCACTGATAGATATATATACGTATTCTTATTTAGACGGTCTTTATATCTGTAGACATCGATGACCGGCGTGCCGATTGTTTGCAGAAGAGGTGTAGTGTTCGTATTATGTATCCCGTCAATCAGTACATATTTATTGTGTGTCAACGCGCATTTCGTGTATCCACATATGAAACATATGCTGTGTATGCCTCTCTTCGCGTTGTGCCATAATGCTTCCATTTTGCTATCGTATTATACAGTGAAAATCTATTAGCATTTTGCCCTCTTTTTTTTTCTTACTCGAATTGTAAAAACAGCCTTTTCACAGTAATACTTTCTCGTTCGGAAACATGTGCTACTTTTCCTTCTGGAAAAGCTGCACCATGAGCTCTAACCACATAATTCACTCAAGTACCCGTTAACGATCAGTGATACAGAACAGGGCGTCGCCAGGGAGCACTAATTGAATTTCTGCTACGGAGCTCAATAAGGAATCCTGCGATGCGCATCACCGGGGTCTCTTTTGACTTGTTTCGACGATTGTGAAACATAGATACTCTACGAGAGTAGTTGAATAGCTGCACATGTAATTAATGGGTTATAGGCTTGTGAGTGGCTGGAAGACAGCAGCTTGCGGCTAGCTGAATCCGTTCGTCGTTGGCTAAAACGACGGACTGGCATTCGTCTGTCCAGCATGTATTTCGACATCGGTCCTGTGAGGCGCTCAAAAGGCAGACATTTTCTTTACTTCATCTAATGGCTCTGAGGTGAGAATTTTCGATTTAGCTAAATTTGCTGAGGTCACACCGCGTCTCACCTATGCCATTTCAGTCACGTCAAGCGCTCCTCTAATGTACCTAAGTAACCTACAGTATTTTTCTACTTCCGAGCCAGTGTGCATTTATCTAGCACTGTAACCCACGGCTAAATGTATGCGTGCTATTTTGCAACCATATATATATATATATATATTGTTTATGGATTAGTGCAGCAATCGGCCCGGCATAAATACCAATAATAGTATTAAATAAATTAGTTCGTGTTGGTATAATTCAAATAAGAAAGAAGCAATTACGTTTACGCAAGTGCCAAACACTCTGGATCCGCGAACGGCAACTAAAAAAAAAAAAAAAACAATTTGACGTTTGCGATAATAAAAAAACGACGATAAATAATGGTGCGATGTAAAGATATGTACATATGAAACAACACTGTACATCTCAACAGCCACCAACAAACGAATGTACAAATCAGCTATCCTAATAATAATGCTTAATGTACAAATTGTATTCTAAATATTATATATTGCGCAGAGGACGTACGAACGCTGTAAGCAAAACAGATAATAAGAGAAAAAAAAGTATGGAAATATTCGAATAAAAATTAAAATATTAAACATACAATTGTGCGATAACCCTCATTTACGGCTAAAAAAAACTACTAATCACAGTTAAAACTATTATTAAACCTTCTATCGTTATTCATCAAGCGTAAACGGAAGCTTCTTCGTCTGAAATACCATTGTTGTATTGTTGAACGAATGTACCTTTGTTACTAAAGGAGAGGACGATATGACCACGCGTACATTCAATTTTCCAAAGGGGCAATAATAGTGAGAACAAGACATTGACGTCTCAAGCTGTGTTAAGTACGCCCACCTGCCATAGGGGCCAAAAAGCTACTAATTCTGTTTTTAGATACGTCCTGCAGAATGACAGGTAAGTATCAACTCAGACGTCTTAAGCGCCGAAGGCAAGACTGAGCTCAAAATTTTCGGGGCAGCGAGCTTGAACAAAATCGGTTATCTCAGACAATGAAAGCCCTCGTCGGCCTGATTGCATCCATGGGTGTTCGATCGAACAGTAAAATTGTTTTTTGCGCCACACTAACTTATTTACGGCTGCTCGTGGACAGCAGCATTCGATTCTATTATACCTAGATGATTTGAGCGTTTTTCTCCCAAAGTTAAGGCCCTTCGGCGAAACATCCTTTGACGATTTCCGTATCAACGCAGGAACGGACCGCAATTTGTGGTGCGATGATTTTCTGTCTGTCAAAGGTTAACTGTCGCAATACAGGCCGAAGAGCACCAGCGCAACCAAATAAGAGAGTTTCTCCAAGAGGCAAATCACTTTTGGCATGACCTATCCACACTTTGATATCCGGAATCAGCGTTGATCGGCAGGCATCACCCCGAACTATGTGTTACCAGATAATCGTGGTGAGCTTTCGTAGCGAACGCTAGAACATGTAACTACTACTTGCCAGCGTTCCTTCGTTCATTTGGTTCAAATGCGGGCCAGGAAAGGCAATGCAAAACGGAAAGGGCGGGAGCTAGGACCCACGACGTGGTCTTCTGTGCTCGTCGCAGGAGGCAAAGCTTCACTTACAATGTCGTGATAGGCCTCGATAATGTTCATGTAAACTGCCGGTAAGATTAGCGATTATGTGAAAGGCGAATTTACATTAGAAGTATTTAAATGGACCGCACACAATGTTGTTAGGTGAGTAAACTCCTCTGCAGAGATATATCATTCTTCTCTGTTTTCATTTGTGACTCAGAGTAAACTTCAAGCTTCTTTTAGAGACAGAAGAACCGAGTCAGATGAATTCAGACACGCGACACGATCTTTTGTTGCTGCTGCTGCTGTTTCTGTTATTCGGTTATGCCAGCCCTGTCGATCAAGCTCAATCTACCAAGACGTCCAGGTGAGTCCGCCGTCGTAACTGACCAGCGCCGATTAATACCACCTTCCACCGCCGAAGACATTCTTGGCAAAGAATTGGAAATAGATAGATAATGCTAGCCGCAACCGACGTGCTGCACGCTGATGCCGCCCGGCCTTCCTGTGCGCGGTGTCGGTACGCCCCGTGATAAATCGCGTTGTCGAACACTGCACGCCGCTATTTAATACACTGCTACAACATTTGGCTGAACTGGATGTTGTTACCTACTGCAATTATATCAGCACAGATGAGTAAATTCAACAAATATCGAACATAACAATTTATCTCTCAATGTGCGCTGATATCATTAAAAAAAAAGATCCGGTATTTCTCTGTACAAGCTCTATTTCAAATTGGTTCACAACAGAGCTTACATACTGCATATATAACAGAACAATATGTTATGAAACGTTAAACATTACAAGGCTAAAAAGCGCCGTATTCCGACCATGGCGATAGAACTGTTGAGCGAACTACTATATATAGTACGAAACGTAATACGGAATTAAAAATGTTATCTTAGGGTAAATGTATTGAATAGCAAATGTGAAATTTCTTTTTCCAATATCTAGCTACACGGCACGTACTGTCGAACGATGCGTAATGCGCCGTGTTTCATTAACACGTTATTTGTGCGCTAGTATTTCTGATCCGAGAGGTAATATAATTAGCTTACAAATCAACGAAATGCTTCCTCGGCTAAACTCATGAGCAAAGTTATTTAGCTTCTTTGTATTCATTTGTAGTAGGTACAAAAGGCATTCAGCAATGAAGGAAACCGCGTACCGTGTGTGTTAATTTGATTACTGAACCAGATGGATCAATTCAGGCTGTCAACGTAAAATTCTGCTCAGCATAGGCCATTACAAATACTCCGGAACAACAACAAGCAGATGCCTCATACCAAAGCAAACGCGCCCCAAGCGAAATCTGTGATATATCGATCATTCACTAACCCGTCCATCCCAAATAATCATTTGAAAATTAGTCGCAGCGTCATCGATGTTATAATACAAAAAGAGCCCCATCTGTTTCATCTGAATTCAGGTCTGCTGAAAGCTATGGTTTATTTAAAGATGGGCTACTCGCAGCCCGGGGTAATTGAGTTTTTTTTTCTTTAATAACAATCGGTCAGATTAATTTATTTCGCTCGTAGTCGTCGAGTACTTTATATAGTAAAGGGCAGCAGCACAGTGTTCTAATATCAGAACGAGCATATAGAACCATTCAAAACGCTTTGTGCCATATGGAACCTCAAATTATTTGAAAATTCACCCGGTTAAACATTAACGGAAATCATGTGTAGCAATGACAAGTTTGTGAGGCAAAAAAACATTTTCCAGAAAAAAACATTCGTATCGAAATCCTAACGATTTGAGTTGTAGAGGTATTACGAGCTTTTTTTAACATAAATGTACATTTATTTATGCGGAGCCTTATCAATCTGGTTAATATAATTAAGAATAGTATACTAAAGAGCAACTATACCACCTTGCGGATAATCTGTGCTAGCGGATCTCGATGATGGAGTGCTCAAACGAGTTGACGCACAATATCTCATCATTCGTTTACCACATCATGTCTTAGCGTTCGTTTTGTTTGTCAAGGGCATATCGAAAAGCCATCAGTGGTTAGATGGAAGGTTGCCACCGTTATCTGGTTTGCGGAAGCTCAACTTGTATCTGAAGCACATTCTCCATGCTTAGTTATCCGTAAGTACGGGATGCAGCAGATATAGTATAGTCAAGAACCATATGTAAGCGACTTTTATATTCAGGACCATGCTCGGAAGTCGTGTATCTGGATGTTAAAAAGACGGGCCCGAACTGCCGCTTTTGATTGACTACGCAGAGGAGAACTATGGAATAGCTCCATCAAGGCAGTAGTCGTGACAGAGCACGGATTTTCGCTGTTATCAAGACAGCATTATGTGCAAGGTACATAAGGGGTGCTACCTGAATTACTAGTTATTCAAAACAGTTGAGAAGTATAACTAAAGCTGTTAAAAATTGATGGGCTTCTATTTTGACTGGTGCATTACGCGGCTCGGAGTGTACGAATAAATTAGACAAACGCCGAGGTAAGGGCTTCTAGCCATCTGAGAAAACCTCAATTCGAATTCGGACAAAGCAGAACCTAAAATTGCCTCGGTCTATTGTTAAGCAATTTCTCAAATACGTAGGCCACAGTCAACGTTAACACATATAACGACAGACATAAACATCTATGCAGGGCATTTCTGAGTAGAATAAGTGATACAGGTTTTGCAAGATCAAAGTCTATATAACATTTCTTAGAGCTTAGAAAAGTGTATTATTAATATTCTTTTTTTTTTTTTTAAATTCTTCTACTAAGACAAACTATTCTACTAAGAAGTTGCGCAAGTCAAGCAAAAGTTAATTTGTCAAGACAACTCCAACAATCTACCGAAGCTGAAGTGTGCCCTACAAATACCCATGTTTGTCAACTATCTGATATTGTCTCATCTTACCTTTCCATGTTGGAAATTGTTTGTATTGTAGAACACGATATTATTGTGGCCAGAGCAGTTATTGGTAAAATTAGACTAGTTTGAATTACGCCAGTATGTGGGGCATGTGGTAGAATGTCTTTTTGGAATGTAATAAGAATCAAATATAGGGGCATTCCTATTTTCGTCATCTGCTACTGGCGGGCGTGATTATTGCGTTAAAGTCTTTCTTTCTTTCTTTCTAAAATTGGAATGGATGCTAAGGTTTCTGTATTGCTAGGACAGAGGACTCTGTCAACTGCTACTCTCAGCTAGTGGATTTAAACGAGAAAAGTAATTTTGGGCTTCAAAGAGGGAGAAAATTGTCAACGGAGGAGCCCTCGTTGGAATCCTATTCACCAGAAACGACAAGGGAAAAGAAGCTGCCGAAATAATTGAATACTACTATGCAGCTTAAAGCAACTGATCTATTGGATTGAACACTAAATGGCCTCTCCATTGTCGTGGAGTTGTCTCGATTCAACGCCGTTCTACTCAGTATTAATGCTCCGAATGCAGCTACTGTTTCCTGCGAGTCAGATCCTCAAAGTAGCAAAGATGGTGATCAGGCCTGTGGAGCTTTAATAGGAATCAGCATGAAAACGATGTCCATGCGCATGACGCCACTAGCGGATATGAGAAAGTGGTTCATGTCCAACTATTCGAGGCAATGACGCGAGCGGACCAACGAGCACGACCGTTCGTGGAAGTAGACGCGGGTCATACAAAGGAAACACAGTGAATAAAACTATTACAAATGTACAATCATGTAAATGAAATCTGGTTATGCTTATAGCATCGAATTAAATGGCGTCCTTTGCTTTTCTTCGGATCTGTACCGAGATTGAAGAAAACGTGAACGATCGCGTTCCTGCGCCTACCGGGGCAAAATCCGTACTGGCATTCGGATGAACTTGCTAACAGAATTGAAGGATAGGCAAAGAATATAGAGATTTGAGACAGTAGCAACGGAAAGTTGCTTCGAAACGGCCTGCCCTTTTTGGGATAGAGTCTAAAGGGTAAAGGCACAATGGTTTATTAAAAACGAAGTAGCTGAATGCAATACAGTGTGATGATTCAAAAAATAGGTGTATAGAGAATATGAATATTTTTTTCCAAGGATAAAAGCTAAAATATATCAACAATT